GGGAAGAGGAGAGCAAGTGCTACAAGAATCTTCAGGCTTCATTGCTAGCCAGGGCTCCCAGAATATCCACCTTCAGATTTGTGGGTTTTGGGACAGCTCCAAATAGCCTTGGAGCCCCTCAGGCCAAGTAGCCAGCGTCAGTGCCACTATGTATCCTTGAGCTCCCAGCCAAGCCCGGCAGGAAAGGGAGGCCTGGGATTTCCCACTTAGCTGAGCTTGGCTGCTTGGCTCTGCCTTGCTGGTCTCTTTGGGCGTCATGCAATCAACTCATTAGTTTTGCAGTGTCTCTTTCAAACTACACTCAACCAGAGCTCCCCTGTCTGCTTCTCACCAGAAAATAAAATTGTCAGTTTTCAGACAACAGAAAAAAAAATATAAATTAGGTTCATGTGCAGCCTGGAAGCCAAATAAGTTGGAGTCACTGAGCACAGTGGGTTGTGGGGACCGCTGGAGGGGTCTGTCTTCACGGAGCAATCAGTTGGGCGCCATGGGCATGGCCTGTCTGCCTCATGATGAGAGATCACCCCTGTACAAATCAGACCCCACCTAGCTTGCTATGTAGGGGAACCCAGGACCTTTCCATTTGTGTCCCCTGTAGGACCCTGGTGACACCCCACACTCCAGTGCCCACCCACCTCAGTCTCACGGCCTTAGACTATTGTACAGCCTTTGGCTTATCCAACAGCCCAGCCCCTCTTGCTGCACCTTCAAGTGTTAATGACATTGCTGTTGTTGTTTTGATGTCGTGGTGCCCGTTGCAGACTCTCGAGTGTTGATATAATTTTATACCACATCTCTAGGGGACATTCCTGACTGTGAATGTGCTTATCACTTGGGTAGATGCTACCAAGTTACCCTGCCCACTTAGCATACCTGACAAGGACAATATTGTCCCCACATTGGTGCCAGTGATGGGGACTACAGCTGTGTATAGTGTCTCCCACCTGATATGCGGAGTGCTGGACTTTATTCCCTCCCCATGAGCAGATCAATCTCTCCCCATTGTATTATTATGTTGCTTCTCCCCAGAGCACTGCCTTCCCTGTCTGGTCATCAGTGAGAGGATCTTTGTCAACTAGTACCAACTGGATGCTGAGGGCCCCCCAATCAAATGATGGCCATCCCTGTTGGTGGCTCCAAGAAAGATTGCACTTCTCAGATCGGTGACTCTGGATACCCGAACAGCAGGCATTGCCCTGCCCTAGGAGTAAGTTTTCTGAGTGCTCCCTGCCCAGGTGACTCACTTGGCATTTGGTAAGCTGGAGCTAAGAGACAGGAGCCACCCTGTCCACAGTGTACCTCAGGCATGTAGCCCAGTCTGGCCCCAGCTAGATCATAGGACCCTGTGTGCCAGCGCTGTGGGGATGTGGGCTCCCCAGAATGGAGGAGAATTGTTGTCCATGCTGAGGTGCAGAACACGGGAACAGGGGACTCCCCTGTGTGGGGCCTGTGGGTGGGGCCACTTGCCTGCCAGGCATCCCTCTTAGTTCCAACATCCACAGTGAGGCACCATGGAAACAGAGTGTAGCTCATGGAAAACATTATTTTCTTTGATGAATCATGTTCTAAGTTGGGAGGAAAGTTCACTAGACAGTTGAGGCAGTAAAGGGAACAACGTGGTCTTTGTTCAGCCGATGTGAAGAGGGTTTGGGTCTTAAGTGTTGGTGATAAAGGCAGCTCTCCCGAGCCCACACCCTGGGAAAGGCTGGAGACATTCCGGAAATCCCAAAGTGGGCTCTTCAAATGCTGGGCAACCCCATCCTTTGGATTCCACTCCGGTCCCCCTGGGCTCACTGCACTCTCTGAAGACATGTGGCCTTTTTCTGTGGCTGGAAAAATCCCAGCTCTCTCTTCTTCCGGCCTTGCCTGGCAGTGCAGGATGGACAGACTCCTTGTCCAGTTAAGAGGCATCTGGAATTGCCCAGGCCACCTGTGAAAATGCTGTGCATTAGCCCCCGTTGTGTGTTGGGAAGCTCTGTGAACAGGGTCAAGCAGTTCGCAGAGTGTGTGGCCTCTCTCTTCAGCTGTGAGACCTTGGAGTCAGTGTGCAGTGGGCAGCCAGTAGTCTTTGGCTGTGACATAAACCCTAAGGCCAGGGAACACTGTTCCACACTTGTCCTCTGCCCCACAGCTTGTAGCCTTTGCGATCCCTTTTCTAACCAATTCTGGCAGGTGAAGTCCATGGAGGGCACAAATCCATGTCTGAGCTCTCCTAGGAGATCAAGGAGGTGACCAAGATGCTGCCCATAGGACCAGGGATCAGCAGAACCCCAAGCTTGGACCTATCTCTGATGGCTGTGTATCAGCTACATGCCTCAGCAGGACAAATGGGGCAAGCCCTTCTCAAGTCTGTCAGAATGGGGAACCGCAAAGCACAGGCTGAAAACTTGACACTGGTGTTTGAGGTTGTGAATATGCCATTGAAACCAGAAACTTAGTGTGTGACCAGCCAGCCCAGCCCTCCACTCAAGGGGACTCTAGACCTGGGTTATAATGCCCACCCAACCACAGAACACTGGGGAATTTGTGCTACAGCCTTCAGGTCTCACAGTCAAAACTCCTTATCCTTGGTCCTACATAGCTGGTCAAGTGGGCCACCAGACAATGAAGAGTATGCCTGAGAGGTTCCTGAGCTACTAGAGTTCCAGAAGGCCCTGGTCAGTGGGCCACATGTTTTGAACTGTGGGAGGACCTGTGACTTTTGGGGCTGCATACACTGAACAGGATTTGGGTGAGGTTAAACACCCCTGTCTTCTCAACAAGCAAGCTTTAAAAAAAAATGGTTCTTTCCCTTCCTCAAAGGGCTGGAAGAAAGGAAAAAGAGGCCATGAGCTGCGGCCGGGGTTGGTCATCTGCCGGCAGAGGAGGCACTGTTGCTCCATGGAGAAAAGTGATCCTTCTCTCCTTCCTGACCACGCCCAAGACTTCAGAGCCTCCTCCAGAGTCGCCTAAGTGCGCGGACAAAGGCAATTTCAAGGGGGTTTCATTCCTTCCAGTTTCTACTCACTTTTTCGGATGTGTAAAAAGCCTGACCCCCCCACCACCACCCCCCGTTCCCATTACAAAGGAGCCAGGAATAGGAGAGAGGCCCTCGAGTGTCCTGTCTATGCCCCTCCCTCCCCCTTCAGGTCTGATCCTTCAGCCTAGCAGCCATGCACAGGTCTCCTTGCTGCCCACTTGACTCACTGACCCGCAACCATCCTGCCGGGGTGCTTGAGACCTGACAAAGACTTTCAGATCCAGGGGTCACCTGACCCCCAGTCCCCCCCAGGAACTGTAAAGAAGTCTGCAAGGAGAGAAATTCATGTCACAGGTCCATCACAGCTCTCCTGTCCGTCCACGGAGACACCCTGAGGAGAGGAAAGCAGGTGTCTAGGGCCACTGGGGGTGGGGCGGGGGAGCATGTATGCCTAGATGGAGGACCACAGAGCACTAACCTCCCCCACCCCCAGTGTGACATCAATGCATAGGTATAAAAGGACACACCGCGCCGTTGGAAGGGTCTGCTCTGAATTCCTTGGTTAGAACACCCCTCCCCCAAGCCACAGCTGACTGCACCACTGGGCTGCACTTCCCAGCCTGAGGCTTCTTCTGCAGTGTCAGTCACCCACCCATCCTGGGAAACACAGTCTAAGCGAAGCAGGGGTGGTGGTCCAGCATCCACCACTGGCATGTAGCTCGCTGAGGGATGAGCAGACTAAAGCACCGGGCTGCATGTTTCCCTAGTCATCCTTTACTCATTTCCCCAAGATCCCTCAGGCCTGCTGACAGTGCATGGCTCTGAACCCAACCAGGAGACCTCTCTGACTGTCCCCATGTGATGCTATGCATCAGTCGTCATTGCTGCATGACAGACCCCTGCTCCCTCAGGTTCAGAAGAGCACACCCGTAAGAGCCCAGCAGGGAGATCAGCACTACTGCCAGTGTATCCATCCACCAGTCCACCAGGGTATCCATCGGTGCAGTCACACCAGGCCCCGGCTGGAAGGGTCTGAACTGTTTTGATTGCTTGGTGTCCCTGTTCCGTTCCCCGAATGTCTGCACATGAGGGTCACCACTCTATAGAGGAAATGGCTTAGCTTGTGGAGGCTCCAAAGCCCAAGCAAGAAGGCCGTGTATATAGCATGAAGTCACAGAATGAAGCCATGTGGGGGGGGGGGGCATGAGATTACTGCCAGTAAGACCATGTGTCCATCATGGTGACACATTCTATAGGGCAGACATAAAGACAAGGGATTTGATCTCATGGAGTCCTGGGATCAAGTGTCACTGCTGGTTTTCTTTAAAGAACTTTTACTGTTAACGATGTTAATATTTGTAATCAAGATTTTGTGTTCTAACAAGTATACCATTGTTCTGGAGTCTTCTCTGGGCAGGGATGGCTCTGGCTTTATCTGGAGCCTTCTCCTCCAGAGACTTTATCAGTACACACACACACACACAGAGAGAGAGAGAGAGAGAGAGCGCGGGGGAGAGAGAGGGAGAGAGAGAGAGAGAGAGAGAGAGAGAGAGTTTTCTACAAACACATCCATATATATAGTTGTTGTTGACAACTTGGTTTTCCCAAAGTAAAGATCAAAATACCTTTGGGAAATAAGTATTTAACTAAACGGAAGAGAGGGCTACACGAAAATCTCCAATGCCTGAGAAAGCAGTGTCTGTGGGAGCCGACACTTGCACCAGTAAACTGGGCTGGTCAATCCCACAGGCGGTATTTGGAATGAAACTGCCAGAAATATTTCCCCTTCTTCGGGGATCACATATTTCATACACACTATTTCATTCTACATTACACAGGACAGTCGACTAGGAGTGAGCAAATGTCCCACACACTGTGGCCACTGGAATTCTTCAGCCTAGGAGTATCTTGGCTCATAGTACCCTACTGGAGAGGGGGTTTTTCTTGAGGTTCCAGAGACCCGATGCTGTGACTCACTCAGCTCTGAGGCCCTCCCCTTCCTCTCCCCCTCTTCTCCTGATCCCTCCCCTCTTTGCACCTCCCTCCCTCCCTCCACTCTCACTGGCTCTCCACAGCCCAGGGCTCTAACTGCAGCAAGCGAGACAACCTCTTACCCTGCCATCTCCAGCGCCCACCCTGACCCTGGCCCGCACTTGATGGTGACCCGAAGGCCAGCCAGAAACATGAGGCTGGCCCTCGCTCTCCTGCCCCTGCTGCTACAGGCCTGCTGGGTGGCCACACAAGACATCCAGGGCTCCAAGCCTATTGCCTTCCAAGGTGAGTAAGCTGGTTGTGCTCTCCCAGCGCTGTATTTAGCTGCCTGAAGGCCGGAAAGTAGACAGACTCAGTGCCGGCACATCCCCACCTGGGTACTGCCCCTTGTCTCCTTTTGTCTCAATCCTGTGGAGAGCCACTGAGAAGGGGCCTTGTCCCTTGTCCAAGCCTGCATTCCACTCAGTTCCCATCTTGAAGCAGCTGGAACACTCAGCTCCCGGCCACAAGGCCCTGGAGTCCTGTCACCTCAAGTCTTTCCGTGCTAGGGGGATGACAAGGTGGGGAAACTTCAGAGGGACCTACCAGTGAGGGGATCTTGTGGCCACCATCCCCGTCTGTTTTCTCTCTGAGTGAGTGACCGTCAGAGGCCCCAGAACTGCTATTCTTCTCTCTTTGCCTGACAGCCAGTGGACAGAAGGTGACCTGTCCCTTCACACCTCAGCATGAGGTCGCGGCTTTGAGAACATAATGAGAAATAGTCTAGTTCTCCCAGGCAGCCTCTGCCCTCTATAACTGACCAAAGGCCACTCTGACTGAGGCTCTGTTCAAAGGAAAGGACACCCTGGGTGTCACTCAGACCCTGTGGTGTGTGGCCTACAGTCAGTCTGCCATCACCTGCCCAGAGCCCTACTGCTAAGAATGGACAGTGTCTCAGGGAGCCCCTGTCCTAACTGGGGATGTGTGAAGGGGCCTGGTGCTCCCAGGGGGACTCAGGGCATGGCTAAGTGACCTTACGGGACCTTCTCTGGCTCAGACTGCCCTGTGGATCTATTCTTCGTGCTGGACACCTCGGAAAGTGTGGCCTTGAGGCTGAAACCCTATGGGGCCCTGGTGGACAAGGTGAAGTCCTTCACCAAGCGCTTTATCGACAACCTGAGAGACAGGTAGCGTGAGCTTGCCTTGGCCCGTCCTGTATCTGTGTGGGCCTGGGGACAGGGTGGACCTGCATGCAGAGCTGAGCTTTAACCTCTCACTCCAGAGCTCCATCCTGTGTAAGGGCAGCTGGGGGGATGGGGAGGCCAAGTGAGCAGGAGACAGAACAGTGAGAGGAGTCATCTTGCCAACAGGACTGAGGAGACAATACTGAGGGTACAGATTTGGGGGTCTCTATCCTCCAAACATAGACAGGACTTTGGGGGGGTCAGCCAGATATGCAGCTAAGCCTGATGCCTGGAGTCCTGCTTGCAGCTGGACCCCACCTGGTCCACATGGTCATCACAGTTTCTGCCTAAGTCCTGGGCCAAACATCCCCAGTGTCCTCAACAGAGGCTGGGAGGAGGGGACTATGGAACACTGCAGACATCGTTCACTCCCTTTCTCACTCCCTCCTCAATGGGGCACTGAGAATGGGGGGTGTGGCTGGGGGCAGTCCTGAGGGAGGATAATGAGCCTCCCCCTATAACAGGGTCCCTGCACAGCCATCAGTCAGTGTGAGGACTGGAATTCAGCCAACACAAGCCTCAACCTTACTAACTACCCATCCAGGGCCCAGGGCCATGCCCATAGAGACCACAGCCCCAGAAGACCCTCCTACCCCCACCCCTACCCCCAGGGCTGCCCACCTCAGGGACTTTGGAAATCGGAAACCTGAACTTAGTGAAAATGTCTGGGGCTGTAGGAAACAAAAGGAAGTCCCAAGGCAGAAGGCAGTGAGGTGTCCCTTTACCCAGCTTCCGCATCTCAGGATCCCACCTGTGATATGGGGTAGAATTGCATTTTACTACAGGGGCCTTGGCCACCTTGTCTCCTGAAAAACCACACGGGCCACCATAGCACACCTTGGAGAGCTGAGTGGCCAGATTCTACAGAGCAGGGTGGAGGCAGCTTGGACCTACTTCAGAAATCCCTTTGTCCTATTTAGAGCTAGCCTGTGCCTACCTCTATCCTCACCTAGCCCTCTGCAGTACGCTGGGGTCACGTTTACAGCTCAATTGAGACTCGGGTTGGTTTATCCAGCCATACCCATAGTGTGGCCCCTGGACAGGGACCCCCTCTTTTTTTGTCACAGGACCCTGAGCTACCTGTCCATCTGTGAGATGGGGATGCAGCACCCTTGGGTGAGACAGAAAGTCCCTTCATGAAGGTCAGGGTTAGGCTTCCCCCACCTCATCTCACCTATGCCTCACAGGTACTACCGTTGTGACCGCAACTTGGTTTGGAATGCGGGTGCATTGCACTACAGTGACGAAGTGGAGATCATCCGAGGGCTCACACGCATGCCCAGTGGCCGCGATGAGCTCAAGGCTAGCGTGGATGCGGTCAAGTACTTCGGCAAAGGCACCTACACCGACTGTGCCATTAAGAAGGGGCTAGAGGAGCTGCTCATAGGGTGAGTGGTGCATGGCCAAATCCAGGCCCATCATGTCTAACCCTATCAGCCAGGACAGTCTCAGTGACTGCAGACACAGGTTTTCTCAACCTGTGTGCTATAGGGCCTCCTTGGCCAGTTGTTCATGTCCAGGTGAACTTCCACCAGGCTGCCCATTACCCATCAAGCACTGGGCTGAAGTCTAGAGACTACCTCAGGGAGCAATGTGTCTGTAACCACAAACCTATTCACCTTGCCAGGGACCACAGGGCCATGTGCCAATCTCCACCCATACATGTGTCTAGCTACTGTCTCAACTGGTAAACAAAATAGCCCTAGGAAAGAGGGAATCAGATAGTGACAGAGAGAGATAGGAGGAAGCCAGTTACTGCAGTAAAGCTATGGCCACGCAGTCCTGGAACCTCCCAGCTGAAGTCCTTTAGCAGTGGACAGAATGGCTTCCATTTCACTTCCTGTCATGTGTGGGTCTGAGGCCCTTTCCTCATATGACTAGATGCTTTCCCGTAATGACCCAGGCGTTGAGCTGATGGGTGACAGGTGGCTATGACTCTACTCCTTCCCAGGGTATCCCATGACCAGGTCAGGCATAAGCCATACATCTACCCGTCCTCCCATGGCATCAGCTGCCCAGTGCAGCCAGCTCAGGGGAGAGACACCAGCCCCTCACTATTCCTCCCGTCTGTGGCTTCATTGAGATACCCCAGCATTGTGAGGCTGCAAGGCTGAGCCCCATTCCAAGGCCCATTTAGCCCTTCCACATTAACAGTGATGTGTGATGAACTTGCTCAGGGTGGGCTAGGCCCTGTCTCCCATCTGTAGCAGTATGAGGTGAGTAGGCTAGTGGCTGGATTGAGGGCAAGGCCTAGAGCATGGGTGCCACACGCAATCCACCGAATCAACTTGAAGGAGGTTGCTCTAGAATACCCAGGATGTGGCCCCCAGCATGTGGAAAAGCCCTGCCGTCTGTGTGGCCCCCTACCCACTCTGACCTCTTCCTCAGGGAGGCCCGTTGCACTGTATAGGGTGAAACAATCTGAAGCTATCTGAGTCCCCTACCTCTTACACCAATTGCCTTCCACAGGACCACCACCCCCAGTAGCCCAGGGTCACCCTGGCTCTCTTGTTCTCAGAGGTCTGGGGTCCAAGGCACCTTGAGATGATGCCCAATGAGGACTGCTCCCTTTCCTCAAAGTTTGCATCTCAAAGATGTGGACATGTAACACGACCTGACACTGTAATTATGATCGATGGTGACTCCTGCTCCCTGGGTGACAGGGGACAGCATGTCCAGAGATGCCTCAGGTCCTTCTCCTGGACCTCTGGCCACCAACTCTGAGGGTCTCAGCTCTGGTTCCCAGGCTTTGAGCCTTAGAGAGGCCCTCATGCTGCCCACCTCTCCAGGGGCTCCCACCTGAAGGAGAACAAGTACCTGATCGTGGTGACCGATGGGCACCCTCTAGAGGGCTACAAGGAACCGTGTGGGGGCCTAGAAGACGCAGTGAATGAGGCCAAGCACCTGGGCATCAAAGTCTTCTCTGTGGCCATCACACCTGATCATCTAGTAAGACCCTGCCTCCTTTTATGCTCTCAACACACAAGATGGAGAGTGTCTGGGCTCCCGCCATCTGGATCCTAGAGGCCCTGGTGTCCTCTCCTCTGCTACTATTTGGGCACCCACAAATTGTCTATTTCAAGGCCTCCCATGGGCTGGGCTCCTGGTGTGACCCTTAGGGTGGAGACACCCCAGTAGACAGTCCTAGCCCTTCAAAGGGCTGAGCCCCCCCCCCCCGAGGAGCTTGGGTATCCCTGCGCTGGCTCTGCAGCCACCACCCAGGTCACAGTGGCACATGGCCTCTTGGAGACAGTTCATTCTCTCTTCCTCCATGCTCCCAGGAGCCACGTCTAAGCATCATCGCCACAGACCACACATACCGGCGCAATTTCACAGCAGCTGACTGGGGGCATAGCCGAGATGCCGAAGAGACCATCAGCCAGACTATAGACACCATTGTGGACATGATTGTGAGCACTGCCATCTTTGGGGTGGGGGAAGGAGGACTGTACTCAGACGACAGAGTAACTCACTCTTTGATTTCCATTTCAGAAAAACAACGTGGAGCAAGTGGTAAGTAAGTGCTTACCCCTGAGCCATGTCAGGGCCTGCGCCTTACACAGGTCCTGGCTCTGGCAGTGTGGCCCCCTGTTGGAGTGAGTGTCCCAGGGCCCCTCCCTGTCCTTGTTGGAGCACCCATCCCCTGCTTTTGGATTCTGACTGGTGTCCTATCCTTTCTCCTACAGTGCTGTACCTTTGAGTGTCAGGTAAGTGTGGCCCACCTTCCCTGCTGGCCCCTTGACCTTGTCTAGGGTCTGGGGATGAATAGGGTCTCTCTTGTTTCTTTCAGGCTGCCAGAGGACCTCCTGGGCCCCGAGGTGACCCTGGGTATGAGGTGAGTGGCCAAAATTGCCTTGCTTCTATTATGATGGAGCTCTGTGCCTACCTCCTTGGGAACCTTGTACACCCAACACTGTCTGGGCAGGTGCCTTTGTCCAGGGAGAAAGACCAGGAAGCACTTAAATGTGGGTTTGGGGTGTGGGAGTTGGGCATCTGCTTGATTCTGAAACTGGCGGTCCAAGCTCTGTTGTAACTCACATGGGACAAATCTGAACACTATGGGAGAAGCTGGGGTCACTCTAGGGTGGTTTTCCTGCCACATGGCTGCCATCCACTGAGCTATGGCCCCTCAGAGAGCTTCCATGCTGGGTCTTCCTGTTCCTCTGGGCCTGGAGCCCCACACCAGCTCAGCCTTGAGGAGTTGTGAGCATAGGCACAGCTCTAGGCCCAAGTCTGGCCAGGGTGACACAGCACGAGGAACCTGGGGAAGACTCCCAGAACACAGGCAGGCCCTGGGCCAGAACAACTCTGGAGCCTGGATGGAATCCCTCTGAAGATCTTTTTCACGCCCAAGGATTCTTGCCCAGATTTCCAGAACAGATGGGCGTGCCTCCTGACCTGCTCCCTCCTGAGCTGATCTCCTCTGCCTTCCAGGGGGAACGAGGAAAGCCAGGTCTTCCAGGAGAGAAGGGAGAAGCTGGGGACCCTGTGAGTATGGGTTACTGTCTGCATGACCATGGGGACAAATGCTGAGAAGCCTGAGGCTGGGGATCTGAGCCACAGAAACTTCCAGAACAAGAGCTTTGAGCACAGAGATCACACGGCCTGTCCTTTGTCGGAGGAAGACAGGCTGCCCCAGTGGTCAAGCCAACAAGTTCCAGGACCTCTACTTTGGGCCAATATTCATCTCCCAGCAATTCCCCCTTCCTTTCCAGCCCTCCTTAGGGTGTCCTGGCTCTCCTTCCCCTGGGGTACCGTGTCCCCCTTCTCCTCCCTCCTGGGTGTCCTGGGTTCCCTCCTGCAGTTTGCCATGAGATCTTGGAGACCATTCAGGGGCCTCAGCAGGTCACTGGGGGGTTCTATGTGCATCTTTCTAGCTGCAGTGAGAGGTGAGATGGGCTGAGTGGGACCTTCCCCTGCTCTCCAGGGATGTCTGACTATCTCTCGTTCTATTCCAGGGAAGACCCGGGGATCTTGGACCAGTCGGGTACCAGGGTATGAAGGTACGTGTCCCTAATGTTCAGTGACTCTCTTGGGTAGAGTGGATCAGGGTTTGGCAACCAGGTACGAACTGGTCTGTTCAACAATAACCTATGCCTTCCTTTTCTGTTTGGTTCCTAGGGAGAAAAAGGCAGTCGTGGAGAGAAGGTGAGTGAAGACCAGCTTCAGGCTTGCACCTCTGGGTACAGAGTTACCTCGACTGACAAGCATCACAGGGAGATAGCTAGTGTTCCTGTCAGGAGGAAGCATAGGAAATAGACCCTCCTGTCCCACTCTATGCCTCAGGGGGAATGTGGTTGGTCTCTAGGGACAGGTCCCCTGAGTTCTGCTGCCACTTCAGGCCACCTGGATCAGAAAGGACTGGGGATGGAAAATAGCACTTTTCCTCAGTAGGCAGTTCCTAGAGACCCTCAGAATGCAGGCCCTGTCTGCTTCCCTACCCATTCTGTTCACTGTCCCTGACCTCCACAACTCCTGTTCTCTAGGGTCGGTGGGCTGTTGTATCCATAGTAGGGCTGCCATACTGCCCGTGTCTTACTCCCACCTAATGGGAAGATGACGGTACAGTGTGAGCTGCCCCTGGCCCAGCCAGGGGACTACCTCTCACCACCTTCTTCCTGTTTCCACAGGGCTCCAGAGGACCTAAAGGCTACAAGGTGAGTATGGATGGGTCAAGGACATAAATGCTGTTCATGGGCCGGTGCTAGTGACATCTGGCCTTTGTCTAACCTGGCTTTGTCTCCGTGTCTCACAGGGTGAGAAAGGCAAGCGCGGCATTGACGGGGTAGACGGCATGAAGGTAACCATGAGGGTGGGGGTGCTGTCTAAGGTGGGAGGTAGACAAAGCCAGGGGCTGCCCCAAGTGTGCAGGTGCAGCTCCCACAGTGGGCCTTCCTGGGAAACTTGGGAGTGAGAGTCAGGTGATGTTTCCTGGCAAGACCCAGGTCATAGTAAACCTCAAGTGATCTACTTAAGTTCAGAGGGCTCCTGGCCTTCCTGGGAGGGGCTTGGGTGAACAGTGATCGAGTCTCCACTCAATCATTCCAATCTTGATGTGTCCTTCTGCCAGGGGGAGACGGGGTTCCCAGGACTACCAGGCTGCAAGGGATCGCCAGGATTCGATGTAAGTTACTTCCTCTACCCCCTATATTTTGGAATCATGGGTTTTGGGAAATTTGGTCCAACCCTTGTTATACTGACTCTGCCCAATGGGCAGCCCATTGTGAATTCATTTGATTTATTTGCTCAGTCTGTGGTTGGCCACTTATTTGGGGCCCATGGGGATCTTGGCTAGCTATAATCTACATTTCCATCTTTCCACCAGGGCATTCAAGGACCCCCAGGTCCCAAGGGTGATGCTGGTGCCTTTGGACCAAAAGGAGAAAAGGTAGGTGACAAGCAGCCCCAGAGAATAGAGACTTCAACATTTATCAGGGCCCAGGTCAAGAATTCCTCCTAGGAGCCAGTGTGAGGAACAAGCTTGGCTCTGAGAAATGCAGCCAGGAAACCGTAATGGGCAGACTCTAATTTGCCATTCACCATCAAGCATCTCAGGTCTGGGCCTGAGCAGTTTTAAGGCTGAGATGGTCAGCCTATGCAAATGTGGGTGAATTGTGGGGACCTGGGAGGTCAGAACTCTTCCAGAGTTGGCTGGGTGACCTGAGGTTTGGGTATGAGAATGTAGTCACTGCACCCAGGCCCTGATGTGGCTTCCAGTGTCTGAACCTGTGGACCAAGCATCCATGACATCTCTGACCTTCCCCAGGGTGAAGCTGGAGCAGACGGTGAGGCCGGGAGACCAGGGAGCTCAGGGCCACCTGGAGATGAGGTAAAATTCGTTGGCATATGATGGGATGGGGTGGGATGGGATGAGCCTCATGGACACTGGAGCTTGTGGTCATTCTCAACTTGTCTTCCCCCAGGGTGATCCAGGAGAGCCTGGTCCCCCCGGAGAGAAAGGAGAGGCTGGTGATGAGGTAAACACCCCTATCCCTTGTCCAGCCTCTATCCCCACTTGTGGGCTGAGTGCAGGCTAGTGCACAGACTAACATATGCAATTCTTCCTTGTCCTAGGGGAATGCTGGCCCAGATGGTCCCCCAGGAGAGAGGGTGAGTCAGTTGAATGGCACTGCACTATTGTCCTCACCATCGACAGCAAAGGCTTTTGTGGCCTGGCCTGAGCCTGACCACTGTAGGTCCTTAGGACTTCTGTCTGCATGCCTTGGCTAGGCAGGAAGCCAACCCTAGCCATTCTAGATTTCACCTTGTGTGCTGGGCCTTGGGTCACTTGGGAGTCTGTGGAGGCAAGTGGCCTGAGGAACACAGAGACCCTCCTCTGGAATGATCTGGCATGACAACAGAGACAACTGAGGAGATCCTGGGCCCAGCCTTCAAACTCCCATCCTTCCCAGCAGTGGTTCACAGTCTGCTTCTCTCCACACAGGGCGGCCCTGGTGAAAGAGGACCTCGGGGGACCCCTGGTGTGAGGGGCCCAAGGGGAGACCCGGTGAGTCATGTCTTGGGGATGTCTAGGGGACACGCTCAGGCTGGAGTTGAGTATAGTTTCACAGGGCCAGCTATACAGCCTTGTTGGTGTCTAGGCCTCAGCCCTCCTGCCTTCCTATGGAGGGCTCAAACTGCCAGGGCTCTGAACATCCAAGGTAAGGTCATCAGTCCATATCCCACCAGAGGCTTGCTCATTAGTGGACCCATCCAGAGGAGGAGAATCTGCAAGTGGGGCCAGCCTTGGTCCACAGTTTTTGAGTTCAGCAGACTCTTTGAATCCTGGTCAGTGTGCCTCAATAGCTGGCCACCCAGTAGCAAGCTGACTTGCTAGTCTACAGCAAATTGCTGCTAGCCACGTGGCCTCTACCTCTGCACTCATGGGTTCATTTCTCCCCAGGGTGAATCTGGACCACAAGGTGACCAAGGAAGAGAAGGCCCCATCGGCATCCCTGGAGATCCGGTAAGAAGCCTAGATAGGGCAGGGAACTGCGATACCTTGGAGCTTGTAGGCTCCTGCACCGCTCAGTACTAAGCCAAGTGCTTCATTCGGGTCTTCCGAAAGAAATGCTCCCAGTGGCTCGGCATGGGGGACCTCCTACAGATTCGTGTTCCTGCAGACACATGGTGTCCATGCTCAGAGCTAGCTTGGGTTCAGCTGGGTATGGATGTGTGTCAATGTTCAACATGAGGCCAAGGGATGTATTGGAGGCTGTGGGACACAAACACTTATAGACGCCATACCACCCTAGATCTCTGCCGTGAGCTGTTATGTTCACAGGGCCTGGTAGCATGGGAGTGAGGAGTAATAGAGACCTGGCCTCACAGGGAGGGAGACTATGGCAATGAGGACAGAAGTGAGTCTCTAGGCTTTGGGGTGGATGGAGATGAACTCTTTGAATCCTTGGGAGACATGAATATGAGACTGGATACAGGTGAGTTTGGGAGAATTAACATACGAGAGGTTCCATGATGTAAGGCTGTGGGTAAGATCTTTTAGAGCCCATGTTCAGGAAGCCAGGCTCAACCCAGAGACACCGAGACTTCATGTCCCAGACCAGGCATGGCCCCAGAGCCATCAGGAGAGAACTAGGTAGATAGGTCGCCCATCTTGGGAACAAACATAGCCTGAGTCTGTAGTTGTCCTTGTTTGTCCATATGGTCAGAAGTCTGGTAAGGAAGGGGCTGAAGACTTGGTAAGAGACACTACCTATGGAGGTACTTCCAGGCCTGTGAACTAAAGGGAAGACATCCACACACCCTGAGACATAAAGAGAAGGCTCCATCATGGACAGTGGAGAGGAGGGAACTGCAGGGAGCCCACCCTGACCACACCCCATGCTGGCCACTGGCCCCGCCTGTCATGATGTCCCCAAGGGTCCTCCACTCCTGTGTCCAGGACCCAATTTCTCCATATAAGATCAAACCCCATGCTCTGGGACTCTCAGTTCTCAGGGAAGGAAAACAAGTGTGGGCTGGGGGTAGCGAGCAAAACTCTCATGGTTTTTAATTTCCCAGGGTGAGGCTGGCCCCATTGGACCTAAAGGATACAGAGGTGACGAGGGTCCTCCAGGCCCTGAGGTAAGCACTTGCCCACTCTGCACTGCTAGTCACCTAGGAGGCCAGCCCTGAGTGTCACTCTGAGGACAATCCTAGTCCTTCAGCATATCCCATACCCCCACGCCATCTTTCTGCACCTGGCCTTCCCTCGCTTGCCCTGGGAGAGAGCCAGTCCCAGGAGGATATTGTGCCACAAACTCACATTGTCTGTAACCTGGCTATTACTTGTCCCCCTCCTTTAGGGTCTCAGAGGAGCTCCAGGACCCGCTGGACCCCCTGGAGACCCGGGACTGATGGGTGAAAGGGTGAGTATTTGGGAGCACAGCCCTACTGGGCTACTGCCGGGTCACCAGAGACTCGACAGCTGGGACTTGCCTTACTTGGACCCTTGCAGAGGTGCTGGGGTGGGGGTATCCACAGTCAGCTCTCAAGGATGAGGATGCCTCAGGCAAGACCCTCTTGCTTAAAAGTTCAATCCAGGGCAGTCCTGGGGAGGCGGCTTTTCCCTGGCTGGGGACACAGCTGTCCTGGGCTCCTCCAGACATCTAGCCATGATGGACAGCAGCTCTCTCTACTCTCAGGGTGAAGATGGCCCACCAGGAAATGGCACAGAAGGTTTCCCCGGCTTCCCTGTGAGTGCTATAGACCTACCCATATATCTACCAAGACCCGCTTGGTATCTCTCTGACCACCTAGGCACCTGGATGGATGAGAAAGACCAGAGCAATCAGCTAGTTTGGGCTTTTGGCCCTGGGCCTCTCTCAGCTCTGGGCCCATCCACCTGTGGTTCTCACTTGGCTGCTGTCGTCCGTCCACCCTCCACTCCCGCCGCTGGGCCCTGGTATAACCATCCTATGTTCCTTCGCAGGGTTATCCAGGCAACAGAGGCCCCCCTGGGATAAATGTGAGTATCTCTGCCATGCCTCTGACAGATCATAGATGTGTGTTCACACTGCATACATGCACTTGCATGGGCCTGCACAACCCACTGTGAGCACTTTCTCGCGTGACATCAGGCAGCATGCACATGCACCGATATGTGACTCTGGGAGTACCTCAGGGACACTCCAGCCATGTCACCTCTATCTTCTCTGCCTACTCTACATCCTAGATCCCACTAACCCATGTGTTTTGTCTCCCGCAGGGCACAAAAGGCTACCCTGGCCTCAAAGGAGATGAGGGTGAAGTTGGAGACCCGGGAGAGGATGTAAGTGGGGTGAGGTGAGGGGCAGAGTCTTTCGAGAGTGTGAACCCTACAGGCTTTGCTCACTGGAACAGAGGAGCAGGGGAAGGCTGGGCATGTACTCTGAGGGGCTGGAGCAGTTGGACTAGAGTGAGGGCAACTGGTACACATGGCTGTTCCTGCTGACTCCATGCTGTTTCCTTCCAGAACAACGACATTTCACCCCGTGGGGCCAAAGGGGCCAAGGGGTACCGAGGCCCAGAAGGACCTCAGGTAGGTGATGTGGCTGGGAATGGAGGTTAGGCAAGGCCATTCGCAGCAATTAGAGGTGGAAGCCAAGAGACTCACAGGACCAGGCTTGCCCCACGGACAGATGGGGACACTGAGGTCCCTAAAAGACATTGTTTAGGAATCCTTGGGCACAAGCTCCTCATTTAGAGTCTTTGTCTGCTCTTGCTCTGACAGGGACCTCCAGGACATGTGGGGCCACCTGGGCCAGATGTAAGTAGAGTGTCTGTAAATGAGATCCAGGGGCTGACCACTATGGCCATGGATCTTGATGGGGCATTAGTGAAACCTGGAGCTCCCAACCACTGTTCACAGATGGGAGCAGCTGGGGCAGGAGGTCTGAAGCCTTGCACTCATACCACAGGAATGTATGACTGCCACTGGGACATGGGACAGCCATGGAAGAGATGTGGCTATGGGGGACACATGATAGCTATGTTGATAGCTATGTGATGGTAACTGCATCATATCTTATATTCTTAGGGGGTTAATTAAGGCAGGAACACTCTAGGCTGTGAGAAGTCCCTGCACAGATCCAGGGGGTTCCCAGGGACCACCAGGACTGGCCTCTACCTAGGCCACATTAATATTCTCACCTCTTTCCCCAGGAGTGCGAGATTTTGGATATCATCATGAAAATGTGCTGTAAGTATCCTGATCTTAGGGTGACTTTCTTAATGAGATGGAAAGTTCCCGACAGCCACGGGGCCTAGCATTCTGCTCCAGAAGGGTCTCTGATGGTGAGAGACATAGGCAGGCAGGGCCTAGGTACACTACTGAGACTGGCAGGTCCCCCATACGAGAGAACCAGGGCTGGGCTACACATCCTCTGATATTTGAGGGACTCTGATCTGCTGAGGGCCTGGCCAGAGCTAGGTAAAGCCAAGCAGAGCAGGACAGGGCACTCTGTAGTCTGGAGCTGTTCTGTTTAGTGTTCTTTCTCCTCTCTCCTCAGCCTGCTGCGGTGAGTGGTGCCTCTACAGTCTCGGGAGTTCCTGTGAGGCTCTGCAGTGGGTTAGCAATGCAGCAGCCATTCACTCGTCCACTTTGCTCTCTCACCCATCTGTCTTCCCAGTGAGCGGTACCCTGGGGACATGCAGGCCCAGGACACCGCTGTTCCCTGTCCTCTCTCCCTAACATTTCAAGTAAACATCAGCAGTCTGGGGCAGAAACCAGACTTCCAGGACTGTCTTATTCACTCTTCCACAGGATGAGAGTGAGGATAAAGGGGCAAGGGTGGCAACTGTTGGGTCTGGTCAACGAAGGCCAACCTGGGAAGTCTACCTCGCAAGGAAGCATGGGAGAAGATCCATAATTGACAATGTGGGGTGGGATAATGGAGTACCAAGGGAAGCCTGTAGAAGGGCACTAAGGGCTGGCCCATCCCACCCCCTAGAGTGCACATGCGGCCCCATTGACATCCTCTTCGTGCTGGACAGCTCTGAGAGCATTGGCCTTCAGAACTTCGAGATTGCCAAGGACTTCATCATCAAGGTCATTGACCGGCTGAGCAAGGATGAGCTGGTCAAGGTGAGTCCAAGCCAACCTGGGACCACAGGTAGAGCTAACAGAGAGTCCAGCCCCTCTACCTGGCTTCCCAGCTCATTGCTGAATACACTGATGTATGTATACATTGAGCTGGTCGGAGCCTGCAACAAAGCCAAACGTATCTTTAATGTCCACGGAAGCTAAATGCATGCATTTCCACCATGTGGTGCAGAGAATCTTGATAGTGGGGTCAGACTTCATCCTTTAATGATGGAACCTGGGAGGGCTATGTACAGAGCCTTGCGGACCCGAGGGAGCAGTTATGGAAGTCCCTGTGTGAATGAGCACGCTGAGTGAGCACATAGGGGTCTCAGGCCTCAGGGGAGAGGACCTGGGGAGGCTGGGATTATAGGACATAGGGGTGTTGAGCTTCAGACCTGATGGTATGTATCATTTCTACAGTTTGAGCCAGGGCAGTCGCATGCAGGCGTGGTACAGTACAGCCACAACCAGATGCAAGAGCACGTGGACATGCGGAGTCCCAACATCCGAAATGCCCAGGACTTCAAAGAGTGAGAGAATTCCCAAAATCACTGCCCCATCCCTGGTCCTGTAGTGGGCCTGGTCCAAACAGGACCCTGACCCTGGCTTTGACCCTGGCCTGTCTGTCCTCTTATGCAGAGCCGTCAAGAAGCTGCAGTGGATGGCCGGAGGCACGTTTACAGGAGAGGCGCTGCAGTACACCCGGGACCGGCTGCTTCCACCCACCCAGAACAACCGAATCGCTCTGGTCATCACAGATGGACGCTCTGACACTCAGCGGGACACCACACCCCTCAGTGTGCTTTGTGGCCCAGACATTCAGGTGGGTAGCTGCACAGCCCCAGCAGCGGCTGAATGGGGCCTCCTGCACACATGGGGACTGCTCTTCTGGGAAGGAGAAGTACAGGGTCAGGCTGATCCATGAAACCCTGTCCTCTGCAGGTAGTTTCTGTAGGCATCAAGGATGTGTTTGGCTTTGTGGCGGGCTCCGACCAACTCAACGTCATTTCCTGCCAAGGCCTGTTGTCGCAAGGCCGGCCAGGTATCTCCCTGGTGAAGGAGAACTATGCAGAGCTTCTAGACGATGGCTTTCTGAAGAACATCACGGCCCAGATCTGCATAGGTGGGTGCCGGGGATCAAAGGGCTGGGTGGGCAGCGTCAAGCCTGTCTTAGACATGTCCCCTCAGCTTTCTGGGACTGTTTGGGCTAGGAACATACCTCAGAATGCACCTGTCACTGTCACCTCAAGAATGGCTGTGACCGGGCTATATGGCACAGTCCAGGGTAACCTCTGGACCAGCAGAGCAACTCAAGGGCAGGTGTTCTCATGACTCATGCATGGGTCAAGGTCTCCACCCCCAACACCATGGGCACACTGTATGTCAGCCTTGTGTTGATCCGACTCCATGACGTGGACAACTTGGTCAAGGGATGCAGTTTGTGCCAGAGTCAGCAATGCCTGACCTTCAAACCACCTCTCCTCCTCTGAGACTCAGAGCGGGCATGGTAGCATAGGGTCATGGAGGCATGGCATTCATTTCATGTGATTTCTCTTTACAGATAAGAAGTGTCCGGATTATACCTGCCCAAGTGAGTGCAAGGATGGGAAGGACAGGGTGGGAAAGCCCCCGCAGTGCTCTTGGTTCTCTCTTCTGGGCCTTGGCAGCTCTGAAAATCTGGCTGCTCTCTGGCCAGCCCTCTGGAGTCCATCCAGTCTCAAGCCACCATTTTTTCCCCACAGTCACATTCTCCTCCCCGGCTGACATCACCATCCTGCTCGATGGCTCAGCCAGTGTTGGTAGCCACAACTTCGAAACCACCAAGGTCTTTGCCAAGCGCCTAGCTGAGCGCTTCCTGTCAGCAGGCAGGACGGATCCCTCCCAGGAGGTGCGGGTAGCCGTGGTACAGTATAGTGGCCTCGGCCAGCAACAGCCAGGGCGGGCAGCTCTGCAGTTCATGCAGAACTACACAGTGCTGGCCAGCTCTGTGGACAGCATGGATTTCATCAACGATGCTACGGATGTCAATGATGCCCTGAGCTATGTAACTCGCTTCTACCGGGAAACCTCACCAGGTGCCGCCAAGAAGAGAGTCCTATTGTTTTCAGATGGCAACTCACAGGGGGCCACAGCGGAGGCCATTGAGAAGGCTGTGCAGGAGGCCCAGCGTGCAGGCATTGAGATCTTTGTGGTGGTAGTGGGACCCCAGGTGAATGAGCCCCACATCCGTGTGCTCGTCACTGGCAAGACCGCGGAGTATGATGTGGCCTTTGGTGAGCGCCACCTATTCCGAGTTCCAAACTACCAGGCCCTGCTTCGTGGTGTGTTTTACCAGACAGTCTCCAGGAAGGTGGCACTGGGCTAGAGGACCACACACATGGCTGTGCGCATGGGGACACACTTTGACAGGCCTTCCTGCCCTTCCCACCACTGACCATACAGGAACAGGAAATGTGACCCAAATGTTCCTGAACATTGTCCCACTGTCTTAGAGGGAATGCGGAGATGCACACTGTTGGCTTTGTGTTATGTCCTCTGTGGCTCACCCGAGTTCCTGTCTATATCCCTCTCTTGATTTGTCCAGCATGGCGGCCATCTTGCTGACCTCTCTCTGCATCTCGGCTGCATCCAGCCATCTCATCTTCCTCCTCGCTGCCCTTAACCTGTTCCTGGTATCTTCACACCATCCCTGCAGTTTCTGTCTGTGTTGAGTCTTCCACACTCACAGTGAAGCAAATCCTTGCATGAGCTCAGCTTGCTGGGTTGCGGCTTTTAGAAGAGTAAAGACCAAGAGCATTTTCCAACTCAAACTTGGAGGAGGCCACTCCTCTTCATCAGGTGCTTGTCAGTGACCGATGTGGACCTTGGTCCTGGCCCTTAGTGGCTCGACATGAGCAGCGGGAAATGCTGGTTCCCGCCTCTTGTCCTTGAGCTGTAAGCGCAAAGGTGCTGCCTGCAAGGGCTTCATATACAAAGAGGCTTCGTCTGGACAGTTCACACTCAGGTGTTCTGTCAGAACCAATCCAGAGATCCTTTGCCTTAAAATAGTGACTGGTCCTTCTTTGTCAAGACCTCCTTTAGTTAGCTTTGTCATGGTTCCCCCATGCTCCCCTAATCTGGTCTAAGCCAGCTATCTCTGCTAATAAAGGTTTCCATTTTTTCTCTGTGGCTCTTCCCTTTATCCACACACACTACCCAACACACCAGAAAGAGAAGCCAGTGCCAGACAGACTGCAGGGCTGAGGGGAAGCTGCCCAGGCCCATGGACACAGCCCATCTGTTTCAGAGAGGAAGAACACATGATTACAAAGGCCTTCCCAAATCAGGGAGCTGTAGTGCTGAGGTACATAGCACCCTGCAGGGCAGATTCGAAAGACACGAGGGCTTGGCAGGCTTGTCCAAACAGATAACTCCAGACCACCTGGTTCCAACCAGATTACCCCAGGTCCAACAAAACTCAACCAAATTACATCATATCCAACCAGAATAAATAAGACCAAATGATATCCAATGAAATTACACCAGACCTAACCAAATCTAACCTGATCAAACCATATTCAATGAAATCCAACACAGTACACTGGACTCAAACAAATATAAACCTGATATAAATCAGATCCAGCTAGATACACTAGAACAAACTGCATTTAGCCAGATTAAATCAGACTAAACCGCATCTAACCAGATTAAACTGGAACAAACCAGATCTAACCAGAATATATAACCCTAAACAGATTACACAAGTCTAAACCAATCTAACTAGATCAAACCAGATCAAACAAGACCAAACCAGGTAATAACATACTAACTCAGATCTTAGCCAACTAGATCCAACCATATTACACTAGACCAATCCATGTCCAAGTAGACTAAACGAGCTGCAAACAGATTAAATCAGATCTAACCAGACAAAGACCCAATGGACAACTAACGACTAATTCTGCTTCTAAAATCATTCTCCAGAAATCCGTAAGGGAAGCTGAGGAAGATGCCTGGGTCAGTTGATAGTTACTCAGAATGAGGTGGGAGTCTGACATGGCACTGGCTGTGGCTACGGCCAGGAGATGGCCTATGGCTTCTGAAATGGTACCTTGCAGGGTGGGGGCTGCAGACACAAATGCAGCCAAGTGGCAAAGGAAGAATGTAGCCATGAGAGTCCCCACTGCCTTGTCCTCCATTCTTGGGGAGTTGGGAGGAGAGGCAATAGAATGGCTGACTTAGATGGCTGACCTAGGAAGCACTGGTGTGTGGGTGGGGTGTGGGGACAGCCACACTGGACTACACATACAGCATGAAATCCCACAGCAACAACAACAAACCAAAACACTGGATCAGTGGTTCTCAACCTGTGGGTTGTGACCCCTTTGGGGGAGTAGAACAACCCTTTCACGGGGGTTGCCTAAGACCATCAGAAAACAGAGATACCTATATTATGATTAATAACAGTATCAAAATTATAGTTACGAAGTAGCAATGAGAATAATTTTATGGTTGGGAGACACCCACAATGTGAAGAACTGTATTAAAGGGTTGCAGCATCAGGAAGGTTGAGAACCATCTCACTAGACCCTTTCTGCTGATGGAGGGTAAGTATCCAAGCAGAATTGGAAAGAGGAAGGAGGGGAGAGAGCCGAGGAGAGGCACACAGTAGGGAACCCCGAGGGGCTGCTAGCTTGGCCACCCTATCTCCACTCAGACACCTAGCTCTTTCCTCAGTTTCCCCACCACAAACAAGCTTAGAAACGCATGACACTCGGCTACCTGGAGAAGCCATTCACATCCTTCATCCCTACGCCCAGGAGCTGAGAGGAGGACCAAAGGATAGATTGGGGCGGGGCAAGGAGCCTGAGCAGAGAGGAAGCAGGGAAGGTGTTTTCTGCATCCTCTTTTTCTTACTGCCCAGATCGCCCTGGTCTCTCCAGGTCTGCATCCCAGATCCAGTAAGGCCTTGATATCAAGTCCAGGTCCTTGCCACATACTGTGGTTCTTCACCCCAAGGTCACCTGTCCCAGATGCTTACTGTGGTCATCAGGGACTCCAGACAGGAGAGACTATGTGTCTACTGGGCCCAGTTGTCACAGATCCTTGTTGGAGCCCAGTGGGAACCTCTGCTCTCATAGAGTGAGAATCAGCTCCAGGCTGAGGAATTGGGACACAGTGAGAGACTTTGCTGTGGCCACAATAAGACAGTGGTTGCTGCCACATGAACCACTCGCTATTCCTAAGCCAGGACCATTGGCCATTTCTACCCAAACCTGAGTCCCCTGAATCTCTTAACCCCTGTCCTTTGTCCCTTTGAATCTCCTACCTCTTTACCAGATTTTTCTCTGCCATGAATAACAGCAGCAGGACAGATAACAGTGAGTAGATTCTCAGAGTCTGGATGTGCCCTGCCTCCCACAGAGTGAGTCTTTAGTCACCCCTGCTGCATATGCAGGCCAGCACAAGGTGCCCACAGTAGAGGTTACAGGTTGGTGGATGACTGAGCCTAGCTGCCCATGTCCTGTTCCATTGAGATTGCATCAGTTGTCCTCACAAATGAGTTCCAACATCTGTTGGCTCTCACCATGTCCACATCGTCCTCTCCCATCCCCTGCCTCTCTCAATACCTAGTACCCAGGACAAAAGTCTCTGATGCTATGTCAGGTGTCACTCAAACCAGCTCAAAATTCTCCTGGACAGTGGGAACCAGATACATGGGTTCCCCCTAAGAAGATAATGGGTCTTTAACTCCTGGAAAGGCTGGCAGGGAACTCATGGACTGTGCATAGGTCACACTCCTGCCTAAGTCCTTTATTTGCAGGCTCCTATCCTTGTCCCCTCCTTTCTCTGGCTTACATGGAGAAGTTGGGGTTGGTGAGAAAGCCCACGTGCCCCTTGTCAGAAGCCTCTACCACCCTCACCAGGAGGCAATACCCCAGATGCTGTTCTCCTCATAGGAATATATGGCTACCATTCCCTCCTGATCATAGGAGGTGGCCCATGAGGGTGTTTGAGGGATTGTGTGTCCTAACAGACTACCAGGGTCTCTAGCATATTTCTGGGCTCAGGTCATTGGGATATGCCAGCTCTGGGGACATGGGGTCTGGGTGTCTACCTCAATACCAGATCCCATAATTTGATTCTCCATAGCCAACAAGAACGGAAAATTAAAGTCTCTGCCTTCCCCTTTCAGCTCTTCTCAAGCAGAGACTGCTGTTTTGAGGGCTGACAGGTCCCCAAGATGGCTCTGGAGCTTACAGACAATGGGTAGATTGCAACTTCATGCTTGTAAGAGCCATGCAGAGCAACAGGGATGCAACAGAGAGAACTTCAGGGTTATCAAAGTGGAGACAGCATGAGGACAGCAAGTGTCCAAAGCATAAGCCTGCCCATGGGTTGTGATGAGCAAACGTAGCATCAAGAAGCCATGGGGAGAAGCTGGCTACAACTACTGCACATTCCTGAGGGTGATGTCAAATAGTGATACAGTTTTGAAAGTGCACAGGGACCTTCCCTGACCCAGTTTTACTTGACCTAGAGACTTGAGATGCTGGACACTCAATGGCCATTAAAATCAGCTTTCAAGTCCACATGTGGTATATGTCGTCAATCCTAGCAATTGAGAGTCAGAAGCAGAAGGAACTTGTGAGTTCAAGGTCAGCCTGGTCTACGTACAGAGCCAGGCCATAGAGAGTCATATAGTGTGGTGGTTTGAATGAGATGGCTCCCATAGACGCATATATTAGAATACTTGGTGGAATTGCTTGGGAAGATTAGGGGATGTGGGCTTGTTGGAGGAAGTGTGTCACTAGAGGCAGCCTTTGAAGCTTCAAATGTCTCTGGCCATCTTCAGGACCCTCTCTGCCTCCTGCCTGTGGTTTTGAGATGTGAACCCTTAGCTGGTCCTGCAGCCAAACCTTCTCTCCACCATCATGGACTCTAACCCTGTAAAACCGTAAGCCCAACGAAACTTTGTAAGTTGCCTTGGTCATGATGCTTTCTCGTATCATGGCAACAGAAAAGTAACTAATACACATAGTGAGACCCTGTCTCCAAAAACAAAACAAAACCTGAAAAGACAAGCCAAGACATTGTCTCGGGCCATTAGAGATTAAAGATGTAGACGCTTGTGGACATAGTGAAGATGGAAGAAAACTTCACCGCTAGAAATGAAGGGAAAGTGAACGAAAGTCTTAATAGTGGGATGTTGATGTTGAATTTGTCTAGATGTCTTTATAGACTTGTGGCAAAGGCTGGACATTATGCTTTGTGGGCCCTACCCTTCGTGCATGCTTTTCTGGTTCAACCAGGGAAATGACTGCATGCTGTTCACAGAGTAGCCACCCACTTACAGGAGTGGTCATGTCTTGAAGCCCTATCTTTTTGCTAACTGTTGACTGTGGCTCATCTGTTAGCCATTATGCCTAGGCCAGTGTCGATCTGGTGGGTATCTTCCTGACTGTTAATTACACTATACGGTTTGTTCTCACAGTCACGCCGTCAGCTTGTAGATTGTCTACCGCAGCTACCAAAATACAGTTGCAGTTTTCCTTGGTTACCTCATAATTCAATTCCTCTGTGGAACAATTAAGGGTTTCTTTTGTGAAATAGATGTGAGGGAGAGTTCGAAGGACCTAGGTAGACAGGGGAAATAAGAGTGGCCTCCCTAAAATGGCAGCTTCTTGGTTCCAGAAAGCTTTGCAAGAAGAGATGATGGGAAATTATGGGGCTAGGGTGTAAACAGGACCAATAGGGTCAAGGGGAGGACCTTATATAACCCCTATCCCAGAGTCGGTTTAGTGGACCTCCATCTCCAGGACCCCTCCCATCCCAAAGGGAGCCGCTTGCTTCAGGAAAGGTGTTACTTTGGCTTCTCAGCATCTTGGTCTCTGTCTTTCTCAGACATTCAGTCCTTTGTCAGTCGCACAGAGCAAGCTCGGTGATCCCTCAGATGCCCTCCAACATTCACATCACAGGTGGAGGATTTTTAGACGAACTCCTGACTTATCATGTAGTCTACTATGTTTATCTGCCCTAGCAGCAAGAATATGTGGAACTGTTACAGAATTAATATGCTTTCCCAGTGAGAAATCACTCCATGCCTTTAGAGATTAATGAAGGGAAAATCCTTAATGATAACACATGACGACAGGTTCTGGCTAACACACAAAAGGATCCAG